GAGCCCAGCAGGTCGAGGCTGCGGTGGCCGGGAGCGGCCACTGCACTCCAGTCTGGGCGACAGGGTGAGACTCCAACTCAAAAAAAAAAAAAAAGAATTGGAATCTTACTCTGCTGCCCATAGTAAAAACAGGGTCCCGTTATGTTACCCAGGCTGGTCTTGAACTTCTGGCCTCAAGTGATCCTCTTGCCTCAGCCTCCAGAGTAACTAGAGCTACAGGTGCACAGATAATTTTTTTGTTGTTTTGTAAAGATAATTTTTTTGTTGTTTTGTAAAGATGGGGTCTTGCTATGTTGCCCAGGTCTTGAACTTCTGACCTCAAACTATCCTCCCACCTTGACCTTGGCCTCCCAAAGTGCTGGGTTTACATGCAAGAGTCACTGCACCTGGCCTGTTATCCATTCTTTCCATTCTTATATGTATGTCATGTGAAGTAAATTTTAAAAATTTTTTTGAGTCGGATTCTCACTGTCACCCAGGCTAGAATGGCACACTCATGGCCACTGCAGCTTTGACCTGCTGGGCTCAGGCAACCCTTCCACCTCAGCCTTCCAAGTAGCTGGAACCACAGGCATGAGCTAATGTTTTGATTTATTGTAGAGATGAGATCTTGCCAAGTTGCCCAGGCTGATCTCAAACCTCTGGGCTAAGGCAATCCTCTCACCTCAGCCTCCCAAAGTGCTGAGATGACAGGCATGAGCCACCATGCCTGGCTGAAGCAACTTTTTAAAAATTACCTTATGGTTGTTGCTTTGCTAAGAACTGGCCAGGTCATGTGCTCATTGAGCTATGGCCAGGTCATGTTTCCTAGCTTTGTCCCCCTCCCCTGCCTTGGGAAGGTGAATCTCCTCTCTCTAATTTACTTTTCAAATAAACTATATTTTCCAACCTAAAAAATAAAAATCACCTTATAAGACAGTCTCCTAGGAAAACAAATCTGCATTTCCAGAAAGGAGAGAGTCTCTTCAAGTGCAGTCACTACTTGTCTGCCTACTCATTTTGCCTTTGCATAACTAAGACTCAAGCAACCTTTATTGAAGTGAACGTTCTTTGAGCCAGATGGGCTGTTCCAGATGACCCAGACTCTGTAGACTGATGTTTGGATGGATATATTGTTTAATTCAGTGATCATCATACAGATGTACAGACAAGAAAGGGTCTTTTGGAACCATGAGTTTCCTAGTTTGAAATTCTGTTTTTTTTTTTTTTTTGAGTTGGAGTCTCACTCTTGTCACCCAGACTGGAGTGCAGTGGCCGCTCCCGGCCACCGCAGACTCGACCTGCTGGGCTCCAGCGATCCTTCCGCCTCAGCCTTCCAAGTAGCCAGAATTACAGGCATGCGCTACCATGCCCAGCTGATTTTTGATTTATTGTAGAGATGAGGTCTCGCTGCCCAGGCGGGTCTCAAACCCGCGGGCTCAGGCAATCCACTCACCTCAGCCTCCCAAAGGCGCGGGATTACAGGCTGAGCCACCGAGCCCGGCTGAGTTTGAAATTCTACCAAAGTTTAGTTTAATTGTGTATAAGGGAAGCATTTTGTGATTGTTAATTTCACTGACAACACTTTCTTCAATTTCTTATTGAATATCTGGGTCAGCTCCTAGCTACAGGGTGGAGAATAGGACAAAAAAAATCAATTTGCTGGCATGATCCATTCTGATTCTGGAAGGCCTTTCTACCTCTGTCAACACTTGTGTAAAATTCCAATGTTGACAGTTCTTCCTGGTTGAGGCCCAGTTAGCCTCCAGCCAAGAAAGGGAACTTGGTTTGAATAAGGATGGTTTAGATGTCTGTTCTTCTTGTAGTCATCCTCCCTTTTCAATGCCTCTTATTAATAATCTTTTTTTTCCTTGAATAAATTGGCACCTTTTTCTCTCTTTCCCTGTAAAGATGAAACTATGAGAACTCTAAGCCAGGTTCAGTGGCTCACGCCTGTAATCCCAGCACTTTGGGAGGTGGAGGTGAGAGGATTACCTGAGCCCAGCAGGTCGAGGCTGTGGTGGTGGTAAGCATGCCACTGTATCCCAGCCTGGGCAAAAGAGAGATTCCAACTCAAAAAAAAAAAAGAGAACTCTAAGTCATTCTTTTTTGTGTAACCACCTTAACATCCACCTTATCTAAGAAAAGAAAATTTATTTAAAATCAGTCTTACTCTCTGTTGTCCTAGAACAGTGACTAACAGATGGTAATAGGCTTAACACATATTTGTTGAATGAATTTTGAGTGAACCCCACAGTTCTTATTTCAGTGTTTGCTAATGTGATGGTTTAGTGAAGGTTAAAGGTGTGGGCTTTGGAGTCAAACAGGCATAGTCAAGGCTGGATCTTTCCACTCATTAGCTTCACAACCTCTCTAGGATGCAATGTTCTGTGAATAGTATCTATTACATAGGGTACTGTGAGGATGAGAGGTGACAATGTACTGAAATACCTAGCACAGGGTGCACGGAGTATGTGAGAAACAACTTTAGCTATGATTATTATTTCCAATGCCTGTTAGGCTACTAGAATCTGAGCTCCCAAAATGCAGTGAAAGGATGTAACATCAAACTTTTCTTTATCTTTGCCCAAGCACAGAATCTGGCACATAGCAACCAGCACTCAGTATATGTGTGATGCATTAATACATATCTGAGTATGCATGCATTATATTCAGGGCAGCCCAATAACTGTATGACTGAAATCAGTGTGCCATTCATGGACTGCAGGTAAGTCAGTTCTGAGCACACACTGGATGCTACTGAATAGCTTAAATGCAAACTTTCTGGCCCATAGCTTCTGGCCAAATCTGAACCATTCAGCAGATGGAATGAGCCAGGCATGGAGGTGAGATTGACTGTATTGTATCCCACTTCCACTTCTGGAAAAGCACTCTCTTCTACAGAGGCTACTTCTCCAAGATACTTTTTGGGTTTCAACAGCTACATCCAAAGCACTATTCTAGACATAGCATTCAATTCAGAAAAGTAAAATAATAACATTGCAGTTTGAAAAATAGAAGAAGGAAAAAAAATTACCCAGGATCTCCAAACCTAAATCTCACCACCATAATCATGTTTGTTTTACTATCTGTAATGAGCTTGGCTAAGTGATGCCCTTGGTCATCAGGAAGCTGGTATTTTGGTGCCTTCATCTCTGAAATAAGGCCTGCAAATTTTTTTCTATAAATACATTTGAAAAGTACTTTGAAATTCTTTCAGAGGAGTGATTTCCTGTGATAAAGGCAATTCTTTCTCCATTTCGATCATACTATCAAGTTCTTGCCTAGCTTTAGGCCTAATCAAGATACTTTTGCATTTCTGCCATTTTAGGGGTAACGTTCACCTCCATTGTGGAAAGAAGTGAAGGGGAACTGTGGATACATATAAAGGAAGGAGGGAAGGGGGACAGAAGGAAGAAGAAGAGGTAACAGTTGGATGTGAGGAAGTTTACTGTCAGAATCTTTGGATGCTACCTCTGTTCTATCTACAGATGTGTGCTTCTGGGTAAACCACTTGTCTCTCGGGGTCTTTTTCCTCATTTGTAAAGTTGTGGGGAGAGTGCTAATAAGGGAGGTTCAATAGAAGATTTGTAAGTGCACTTCTGCTTTTATTACTCTATGTAAAGGGTCCCCAAACTGTGGCCAGCAGGCCAAACCCTGTTGGTACTGTTTTAGTACACTTGTGAGGTTACAATTTGAATGGTTGAAAAATATCAAAAGAAAACTTCATGATATGTAAAAATTACATAAAATTTTCACGTAAGTATTGTTGTCTGTGGCCAACTTCAAGTCAAAATACTGTATGTTGAATAGTTGCCACAGAGATTTCAAGGCTGACAAAACTGTATTTACTATCTGATACTTCACAGAAAAAGTCTGTCTACTCTTGTTCTATGTATATGTAGTATACCTGCTTAATTTGGGTGGATCCATTTCTTTTATATGAGGTGTGTGCTTCTCAAGTATTTTTCAAAATGTTATTATAATGCATAACCCCATAAATCGCTCAACTTCTCGGAGGGCCTGTTTTGCTTACCATGGAACCCCTAGTGCCCTTCCCAGTGCTAGCACAGAGCAGGGGCTCAGCATTTGTTATTGGATAAACATTCTAACACCAGTGCTAAGCCGAGATTTCAAAACTCGAAAAGGAATTTTTCACCTAGCACAAACTACGTTGCCTATTTCGGCAATTTCTAATTTTTCTTTTAAAAATTTTAATACCTTTTTTGCTGATCAAGATGCTCCCCGGAAAAAAAAAGAAAACCCTGAATTTTAGATACGCAATGAAAAGATAGTTAAAAAAAATCCTATCGGAATCATTTCTCTTCCTAAATAAAGCACTTTCTAATAATACTAGTAAAATTGAAATGGCCTCAGCCTTTTACATCCATGCGCCACGTTTTAAAAATGACGATTACAGGATTCCAAGGCACGGCTGCCGGAAACATCCTGCGTAATTAAAACAGCAGCAAAAAATACAAGCGTGAGTGCAGATCAAAAGGAGCGTGTAAGGGAAAAAAGTAACATTTTGCATTCTGTGCGATGTGTCGAACGTGAACGCACTGCACGTTGGGTTGCAGATTTACTACAGCTGAGTCATTTCGGGACACGAGTATGTGTTTCCAGGAAAAACGAGAGGAAGGAAGCAGGCGGAGGGGCTCGCCGGGTTCCCCCAGGCACTCCCAGCAGCAGCCGCCGGTGCTCCGCGGCGGGCGGCGGCGTGGTCAAAAAGAGGCCGCGGCCCCTTTAAGAGGCACAGCACCTTCTCCAGGATACCATCTTGCACCAGGAGTTCACTTAAGCTCTCCACCAACCTTGCTACATCCCTCCTCCCTCACTGGGTACGGCCGGCCGGCGGGCGAGCGAGTCGCCTCATTGGCCCCGCGCGCACGGCCCTCTCTCTGTTATTGGTCCTCCAGCCCGCCACTCGGCGCCGCCTCCCGCCTCCAGAGCCTAGGGTTAGGTTGCGCGAGGGCTCTCGGGTTAGTTCCTGTTAGGCCCCGGCCGGGGGAGTCGGCTCAAGTCTCCTGAGATGCCCGGTGGGCCCGGGCGCCGGCAGCCGTGAGGGGAGCGCGAGGCGGCGGCGAGCGGAGCCCCACGGAGGCCTGAGCAGGCCCGGCGGCCGAGCCCGCCTTCCCCGCACCATGCTCATAGAGGATGTGGATGCCCTCAAGTCCTGGCTGGCCAAGTTGCTGGAGCCGATGTGAGCGAGCGGGCGGGCGGCGCGGCGGCGGGCGTGGGCGTTGGGCCGGGGGCGTGGGGGAGGGGCGGGGCCCGCCGTGGTACCGGCACCATTGTGGGGGGCTGGGGCAGCGGACGCGGGGCCGCTGCGGGCGGGGGGGCCCAGGCGCGAGGACTTTTGGGATACAAATGTCGGGGGGTTGAGAAGCGGCGCGGGGCGGCCGGAGGCCGAGGTTCTGCCGGCGGGGAGCCGAGAGGCTCTCGGGGGCTTTTCACGTGAACATCGGGGCGTGGAAGGGAACCGCGGCGCGCATCGCGGGCCGGACCAACATTCTTCTCCCGGGGCTGAAAGGTCTCGGGGCCGAGTATCGAGGGCCTGCTCCAAGTGCCCGGGCCGAAAGGGGTAGCAGGACGCCGAGGCTTTAGAGGCATTCCTGGGGCGTCCTCAGGGTTTAAGAATGTTGAAGGGTCTGAAAAAGAGGATGGAGTGGCTGCAAGGGATGTGTGGACATTGGAGGGTTTTAGGAGATAGTGGGGAGCGGGTAAGTCTGGTAGCAAGGGTGTTAAGGGATTTCCAGTCTCACGGAGGAGTTGAGAGTGCTGGGAGAGCTGATGGTTTTCACATGCCACGGAAGGCTGGGAAAAGGGTTCTAGAAGTGTGATTGCGGGTTGGTCTGCAGTGTTACCGGCGGAGGGGTTGAAAGGGGTGTATCTGCAGCACAGAGGGAGTCTCAGGTGCAGGTGGAGTAACAGGAAGAGTAGGAAGGGTGAGGGTTTTGTACCCATTACTGCGAGATTGAGAGGACAGCTAAAGGAAGTTGGGGTTTAGGGTTATTGTTGCGGGGCTGAGAAGACTGAGAGAGGCCTGTCCTTTTAAGATATTGTGGGTAGTGCAAGACACTTGTAGAAGTGTTACTGGAAGGCTTGGAAGGGGTAGCAGAAGCGCCAACTTGTTTGGGGGGCAGGGATGTAGCTAGTTTCTGGAAAGATCTAGAGGGAGGAGAGGAAAGCTTGGAGGGTTGGAGAGAAACATCCATCGTCACCCAACTCTTTGGAAAGAGGGAATGGAAGGGAAGGATCGTTATCTGCTCCCTTCTCATTTTTGCTCTTTATCCTCTTGTTGGCAGTTGGGGCTTTCTGCCTTAAAGAAAAGGAAGAGGTGGGCAGGCGCTCATTCATTAGGTTAGATTGCATTGGTGGAAGAATTGAGTGTTTTTCAGAGGTGAAAGGAGGGAGCTGTTTTGGGGGGTTGTGGACACAGGATAAAGTTGGGGCTGTTGGGAGACAGTGCCAGGCTACTTCCCCGTCAATCTGTTTCCTGGTCCTTCTGAGAAACCTTGTTAATTAACTTTTCTGTTTTTGCTACTTTGGTTTCTTGGTGTGGAAAGGTAACATCCTGGAAGAATCCTCTATTCCAGTGTGTCGGCCTGGTGTAGTCAGCATGGTAGGATGGTAAGGGAGGCAGCACCAGGGGGGGGTTTCATTCTGAGAAGTGTGTGAGTAGAGCACAGGTATAAATGAGAGTATGCACTAATATGCTTCTAAGTTTAGGTTACTGGTGCTCTAGTTAAAGTGAAAACGACTTCTGGACACAGCTGAAGGTTTTGAAGAATGTGGGTCCCTTGAATATGCTGATTTTTTTCCCCCTACAATAAAAAAGTTTTGGAGCACAAAGTAGAAAATGAATTGTGGTGAAAGGTGGGCGATATGATAGGTTGAGTGAAATTGACCAGATATGGAAAAAGACTGAAAAAAGGAAAAAGGTCTGTGTGTTTAAAATATTCCTTATGTTATTTAAGTTAAAAAAGAAAAAAGTTGCCTCCGTATTTTATACACCTGTTATTCTTGTTGCCTTTTTTCTTTTGACAATTTTCCATACATGCTCTGATTTTGTTTGTTGGTGGCTGTCTGTTTAAAAGTATGAGACATGTTATGTCTTGGGCAGAAGGTAACAACTTTTAACATTATAGTTACTTGCTTTGTCTTTCTTTTGATATTTTTTCAAGTGCCTTAACATTTTTTACTCTGAGTAATGCTTTGGTTTTGTTTTCCTTTTTTTCTTTATTATGAAAACTTAGTTTAGGTAGGAGCTTCATCTTGCTAAGGCTGTTTGCACTAGGCTTTTTGTTTAGCTGTTTAGACTGATTAGAGTAATTATTCTATAATTTTCACGAGTAAAAGTTATCTTTCCGAGTGATTGACTTTAGTTTCTCCATTTGAGTTATAGGCTCAACTTAAAGCACACATACTTCTTTTCTTTCTTTTTAAAAAAAATTTTGTTGCTCATTGATAGCTTTTTTTTTTTTTAAAGGCCTAAAAATCACAACTTAGACTTTAAGAATTACAAAGTAGAATTACTTTTGGAATTACAAAATAAAAATACTCTTTATTTATTTATTCATTCATTCAATCATTCATTCATTCATTTATTTTCTGAGTCAGAATCTCACTCTGTGCCTAGGCTGGAGTGCATCAGCACACTCACAGCTACCACAGCCTCAACCTGCTGGGCTCAGGCAATCCTTCCATCTCAGCCTACTGAGTAGCTGTGACTACAGGTGTGCACCATCATGCCCGGCTAATTTTTTGATTTATTGTGGAGTCGAGGTCTGGTCAAGTTGCTCAGGCTGGTCTCAATCCCCTGGGCACAAACAGTCCTCTTGCTTCGGCCTCCCAAAGTGCTGGGATTACAGGTGTAAGCCGCTGTGCCTGGCAAAAAAACCTTTTAGACTCGCATAAGTAGTGGGTTTTGATGGAGATATTAGTAATATATAGTAAATGCAGATGCAGATATCATATATTTTCTTTCTTAGAATGTCATCGTGAGAGATTATTTTGCTTGTTTAGATACCCTAAAGTATAATAAATGATATGCTGACATGGGTTGTGTTTGTAAATTTACCTTTTTGCATATTCCAGATTCAAGAAAATTTTCATGGCAGATTGGCATGTTGCTACAACAGAACGTTTCAGAGCAGGTTGTTAGACTTTGAGATAATATAGTTGCAGTGACTAGGTTGGAATTAAGCTGTGGCTGTGCACATGATTTTCTGTTGCATTTTCTTATTTATTTTAATTTACAGTTAATGAAATTTATAAAAGCTTCGAATGTGGGAGGATTATTAAGATGTTATCTCTTGTCACTGGTGAAACAAAAGCATGTAACAGGAGGTATTTCTAAACAAATCTAGTTTACATGTGATTATTCCCCATAGACAAATTAGAAATGGCAGGAGCTGTTGGAGCTTATCTGTTACCTTCCACTTCTTTTGAAGGTGTAGAACATAACTATCACTTTTACTAGAGGAAAGACAGAAGGAGGGAACCTGAAAGAAGTGACTCTTTAGCAAGCTGGAAAAAAACTAGTACCACTATTTTTGTTGGGAACACAGTAAGAGGGAGGGAAGTTAATATCTTTAGTCAAGAAGTTTTTGTTTTGTTTTTTTGAGTCGGTGTCTCACTGTGTTGCCAGGCTGGAGTGCAGTGGCATGTTCATGGCCATTGCAGCCTCGACCTACTGGGCTCAGGCGCTCCTTCTGCCTCACCCTTCCAGATAGCTAGAACTACAGGTCTTCGCCACCGTGCCTGGCTAATTTTTTGATATATCGTAGAGATGAGGTCTCACCAAGTTACCTAGGCTGTTCTCCAACCCCTGGGCTCAGGCAATCCTCTCACCTCGGCCTCCCAAAGAGCTGGGATTATAGGTATGAGCCACCACGCCTGGCCAGTCAAGAAGTTTATGTCTCTTTCCCTACAGCTGCATAAACAGACTAGACTTGGCTCTTGTTTAGGGCACTCCTCTTTCCTCACTTCTCAAATTATCCTGGATATCCTAATCATAAAGTCTATGTAGGGATTATGTACAATTTGGGGATGCCATGGTTTCTTTCTATTAGAAATGACTGCTCATTTTAAGTATTTTTAAAAGGAAGGTTCTAAGTAAATCAAGGGATGAATGAAACACTAAAGACATTTTTGTAATTTTAAAAGAGTTCAGGCAAGCATTTTTTTGTTTTGTTTTGTTTTTGAGTTGGAGTCTCACTCTGTCGCCCAGACTGGAGTGCAGTGGCCGCTCCTGGCCAATGCAGCCTGGACCTGCCGGGCTCCGGCGATCCTTCCGCCTCAGCCTTCCGAGTAGCCGGAATTACAGGCGTGCACTACCATGCCCGGCTGATTTTTTGAGTTACTGTAGAGATGAGGTCTTGCTGCCCAGGCGGGTCTCGAACCCACAGGCTCGGGCAATCCACTCACCTCAGCCTCCCAAAGGCACGGGATTACAGGCTGAGCCACCGAGCCCAGCAAGCATTTTTTTTTTTTTTTTTTGAGTTAGAGTCTCACTTGGTTGCCCAGACTGGAGTGCAGTGGACGCTCCCGGCCACCGCAACCTCGACCCGCTGGGCTCCAGTGATCCTTCCGCCTCAGCCTTCCCAGTAGCCGGAACTACGGGCGCGCGCTACCACACCCGGCTGATTTTTTGATTTATTGTAGAGATGAGGTTTCGCTGCCCAGGCGGGTCTCAAACCCGCGGGCTCAGGCAGTCCACTCACCTCAGCCTCCCAAAGGCGCGGGATTACAGGCTGAGCCACCGAGCCCGGCTCCCAGCAAGCATTTTTAAATAAACTGGATTTCTACCAAAACATGCTGTGTTTAATGGAGAATGTTTCAGTTATTTATATTATATATGTGAAGTATATGTAAATATGTATGTCACTTCTGCTAGTTTGGCTTATTGTAAAAATTTATCTTGGTGTACTTGTATGTTTTAAAAAGCACGGTGGGAGCCAGGCTCTGTGTCTCAGCCTGTAATCCCAGCACTTTGGGAGGCCGAGGCAAGTGGATTGCCTGAGCCCACGGGTTCGAGACCAGCCTGGGCAACTTGGCAAGACCTCATCTCTACAATAGATAAAAAAACTAGCTGGGTGCAATAGTGTGCGCCTGTAGTTTCAGCTACTTGGAAGGCTGAGGTGGAAGGATTGCCGGAGCCCAGCAGGATGACGCTGGAGTGGCTGTGAGTGTGCCACT